AGTGGAGAAGGGGGATTGGTTTCAAACTGAGAGTAGGTTTATATTAGATATGAGGAAGAAACTCTTTACTGAGAGGCGATGAGGCACTGGAACAGGTTGCCCAGAGAAGTTGTGGATGCCCCATCTCTGGGAGTGTTCAGCATCAGGTTGGATGGAACCTTAAGCAACCTGGTCTAGTGTAAGGTGTCCCTGCCCATGACAGGGGGGTTGGAACTTGGGAATCTTTAAGGTCTCTTCCAACCCAACCCATTCTATGATTCTGTGAAGATGCAAAAGCCAAAGAGGACAAGAAAGGGCAGAAAGATACAGTGAAGGTGTAGCCAAAGATCTCCATCTATACCATCTACCTGATCCTTCTACTCACTTTTCTATTTGAATGCTAATTGATATTACAGAAAGTCTTTTTACTGCTGTGCATAAAAGAAATCTTTCCAAATGCTTTGAGACAGCAATGTATTCCCAGCTGATCCCATAAGCCAGGTCCAGTTTCTTCATGGTCATGATTACTCTTCAAAAGAAAAAACTTGAACAACTATGGCCAGGGAATGTGATTTTTTTTTAAATCAGCCAGCCCAGTATTGGTAGAAAAATAGTTAAATACAATGGACCAAATGTCCAATTATGACAAGAATGACTCAAATTAGAGAAGCATAGATAGAAGAAGCTAACAAAAACATCTCTTTCTGTGGGGACACTAGCACAGCCAAATACTCATCTTTGTAGGTCACCTAGTTTAAAGAGCGATGCACAGGGGGAAAAAAATCTGGGTTTGATATTTTGTACCCTGGACTACAAAGGAATCACTGCAGATACATAAATAAAAGACAGCTGGGCTGAGGTTTCAGATCACCTACACCCATCAGAAAGGCAGCCAGACCAAGCACTGTGCTCTCCTGTTGGATACCTGGACTAATGCTCAACTCAGTCAATTCTTTAGAGGCAAAGAGAGACAGAGCAGAGCTATGTTTCATTAAAACATTTCAATCACCTACATTGCCACAGAAACAGCAAAGAAAATTACATAGCCCAGGGAGAGAAACCTTTGATTTAAATATCTGTAAAAATGTGTGAAAAAAAAAAGAGGAAGAGCTCCTGCCTGGGAAAATCATGAGCTTGTCTCAAAGTCTACAAGACTATCTAAGCAGAGGAAGTGAATGAATAACTGTGGCACATGCATGAGTGGCTGAAAGTGCAGCCTGAGCAGTAATTGGCTCTATTGGTGCTCCTCTGATTAGCTGGTTTTGGCTGCAGCACTTGTCAGACCCACGCTGAGTTCACAGTACAAAAGCATTCACACTGCACTGAAGAACGTCTCAGATCAGCCGGTAGATCCCTGCAGAGAAACAGCAAACACAGATCTGAAGGATGCTGTCTCCAGGGAGGGCTTTAAACCCTTACTTCATGTCACTAATTCCTCGTTATCGAGAGCTGGAAGAGAAAGGACTCCTGGAACGGATTCAGATGCTCCTGTTACTTTTCACTACCTCAGAAATGAAGGAAGAGAGAAGAAAATTGATGGTCCTTCTGTGGAGAGAAATTTAAGAACAAAATCACATTAATCACTGAATGTAGGTGGTTTGAATTCTTTATCAAAATACCCATCTGAGTTGCTAATTAACTGAAACAGCAAAGGGATCTGCTTATTGGTATGGGAAGGAAAGGTTACACACTGATAAATCTCCAGAGATACCCCTGACAGGGAGAGGTCTCAGCTGGGGACATGTCACAGAGGGCATGGGAGGAAATTAGCCACCCCCAGTCCTCACAGTGACAGTGGGCACAGCACTGGCAAACATGAATGGAAGAGGCCAAGGAAATCAGGCACTTCCAAATAGGATATATTTTTATGTGTAGATTTGCATACCTACTGTATCTGCTCCCAGGTTATGGCTAAGACCCCCCTTCAGCTCATTCAGCTCTAAAATCAACTCCATGGATGCCTGCTATATCCTCAAAATGCTGACATGACCACTCTGCAGAATGCCACAGAAATCCCACAGAATAACATGAGTTATTTGCATCCACACTCTGGTAATCACCACCAAAAAACAATTTGGAGAGCATCAGCCAGCACAAGAGTATGCCAGCAAATGCTGTTGTGTTTTCTCAGCTGGCTCACTGATTCGAACACCCTGATCAAATATAAGCAGTTTAGGCTATTAATAGTAGCATTAATGAAAGACTTCCATATTTTGCTTGTGAGCTGCCTGTTCTTTCTCACCCTGTCCTCCCTCCCAGCTAAATTATGTTATGTTTTGTGGTGGCTAAGTGAAATGTGAGGAACAGGAGAACAGATCACAGTTCAGATCAGATATGTGCAAAGTGATTTGAGGACAGCTGACCATTATTTACTTGCAACATACAGTAAGCAGAGATGAAGGTTAAATGTGAGGCTTTTCTACCCAGAAGATATCAATCTTCTTTGTATACACAGAGGAAATAGCAACTGCATTTCACACAAGCTGGGAATTTGGTTCCCAGGACAAAACCAACCAACCTGTGGTTACAAACATCTCTTCAGCTTCTTGGGGCTCTGCCTCCAGAGAAGTGGCACTGAAGTAATAAAACACTCACATGTTGTTGCTCACACTGACCCCAAGATTCATGTGGGTGAAGCTGCCAAGCTCTGACACAGTTGTACCACTGGGAAAGACATAGACAGACATGGAGAGACCACCCTGGATGGGCTGAACATCTCTCCCACCACTTGCAGCACTTCTTTCTTTATTCTTTGTCAATATCTCGAGATACCATTTCTCATAGAAATCTGAGGTTCATGTCAAAGCCTCCATTTACACTGGATTGCACAAAATGCCTCCAAAACGGCATCAGCATTAGCTGAAGTCAACATCAGCCTCAATTCTTTGTTTTACTTTTTATTTTCTTTTTATTTATCTAAAACCTACTGAAAGAGGCTCTGAAACCTTCTCCACCACAGTTTTGTCCCTTCAGGTTCTAAAGCAATAAGCAGTTTTTCCTAATGGTTAACATTAAAGAAATACTGAGCTGGTTGGTCTTTTGGGATTTCTTGAGGGTATTTTCTTAAAGAAATTCAAAACTGTCTTAAAATTTTTTTTCCTGAAAGTTTGAAGCAATTTGTTGATCTTTGAGAAACAGGGAAAAAAAGTAGAAGAACTCTGTCATTCTGATTTTTTTTTTTTTTTTTAGGAAAAAAACATCAAAATCTGTTTATCTTTTAGCAAGAACCAACTTTGCTGTCCATGCATAAAGCTATGGTGAAATATATTGTAGCCTCTTGCCATCATGAAATATGAATACTACTTTGTTAAACTCTTCAGCACACAGATGAGACTGATGAAACTATTCCAGAGGAAGACACTTGTCACTGAAGCTGTTTTGTCTCACTGTTATGAAGATGACCCAGCATTATCCAACTGATGATTCATTATTTTGCACATTATTTCAAACCCCAGTCCTGCACAAGGACCCTCCTATACCACATGCAGCATGAACATGGAACAAAGAGGCACCTTCTGCTTCCAAGAGCTCCAAGTCCTTGTAGAGAACTGGAGAAGCAGATGGAGACAGATGGAGGGTGAGATTAAAGGAACCAGCCATGGCATGCTGTCAGACTTTGAGTAACCTTTACAGCCAGGGAGAGATTTAGCTGTGACTGTGTCTCCATGATATTCATACAAAAAAACCCAAAAAAAAACCTCCAGAAGATTTTAAGTGTCCCATGCCCATTCCTGACTATTATTCCAAGCGAGATCAGATTTTGGAAAAGGAGAATACTGAAATAGAAAGAGGCTGTTGGAGGCTGTGAGTGGTACAAAGTCCCTAGGGATCTCTGGGAGAAGCTCCACAGCAGTTTGTATGTGGGAAGAGGGTCAGTCTTTGAGCTATCTGCCAAAAAGCTGCATCAGCTGTTCTAGGATGAAGCAGTGGGAAGTCAAAATATATTGAGACCTGGCTTTTACCTTGCTCACCAGATGTATTTTGGAAACTGATTGCAGACTGCTAGGAAGAGCTGGTCTCCTACACTTGCAAGTTTTTCTCCAGCCTCATTTGAAGTGGGAGAAGTGGATGACTAGAGTTACAAGTTTCTGTACAAACACATCTTAAGTTTCCCAGGATTTTCTTTCCTAGCGGAGCTGTGCACTGCCCCCTGCTCCACTGAGACCCTTATACTTCCAAAACCCTACGAGCCACACCTTCACTTTTCAAAGCCCTGGGTGCCACCAAGCGCTCGCCCCGGGTCCAGGGAGTGTCGGGCAGCAGCTGCACTCAGCCCGGAGTACGTCTGCCCTTCCCATCTCTACTCTTCTACATCTTCCCTCTTTGCAGTCTCCGTCCTGTCCACCTCTTCCCTTTGCATTCCTCCTCTTTGCAACCCTGCCTTTGCATCCCTCCCCTTTGTATCCCTCCCTTTTCACCTCCCCCTTTGCACCTCTCTCGCTTACAGCCCACCCCTTTGCCTCTCTGCCCCTTCGCATCTCTGCCTTTTCCCATCCCTCCCCTTTGCATCTCTGCTCCTCGCATCTCTGCCCCCGCACACCTCCTGCCCCTCGACCCTCTGCATCTTCGCCCCTTCTCACTGCAGCCTGTCCGGCTCTCAGCCCTCTGTGCATCCGCCCCTTTGCACCCTCAGCCCTTCGCATCCCGCCTCGCTGCCTCCCGCGCTCTGCCCAGCCCCGGTTCCCCCGCAGCGCCTCCGGGCAGTCCGTGCCCCGCTCCAGCCCCCTGACCGCGGCGCTCCGCTGCCCGCCCGGCCCGGACCCGCCCGCGATGCCGCCTCTGCCGGTGCCGGTGCCGGTGCCGGTGCCGGTGCCGGTGCCGGTGCCGGTGCTGGTGCCGGTGCCGGTGCCGGTGCTGGTGCTGGGGCTGCTGCTGCTGCTGGGGGCCCGGACGGGCGGTGCCGGGGGCTGCCAGCTGCCGGCGGAGTGGCGGCCGCTCAGCGAGAGCTGCCGGGCCGAGCTGGCCGCGATCATCGTGTACGCGCGGGTGCTGGCGCTGCACCCCGACCCCTACGGAGCCTACAACTACCTGCCCTGGCAGAGGGGCCCCCCCGGCGGCCCCCAGCAGGGAGCGGGGGACCTCTTTTACTCGGCCGAGATCGAGCTGCTGTGCGACCAGGCGTGGGGCAGCATGCTGGAGGTGCCCGCCGGCTCCCGCCTCAACCTCACCGGCCTCGGCTACTTCTCCTGCCACTCGCACACCGTCATGCAGGGCTACGCTTATTTCTTCTTCCTCCGGTGAGTCCCGGGGCAGGGGGGTCCGAGGAGGGGTTGGGATGTCGCATCCCGGCTCCGGGACATCTCCGCGGGCGGGGGATGCGCGCCCGCCCTGCCCGGAGGGTTCGCTCCGCGCAGCGCCTTCTCCTTTGCGCTTCCACACACACTTCCACAGGGAAAGAGAATCCCGCAGCACCAAACTCCCGTAGTATTCCAGCACATGCACAGGGAGCTGCTCTTGAGTAGCTTGTGGGTGCTGCTGCTTTTGTTTTTAAGGCGGGATGGTCACAGAGCTGGAGAGAGGCCAGCGCCTGTTTGCCGAAGTTTGGCATAGGAGTTTAAAACCCATTCCCAAATACTCACCCGATAGCTTTCCATCTACTCTCCCGAGTCCCAGCCAGACCCTGACTTTGGGCTCATCGAAAGAATAAGAAAATAAACCACAATGTGGGAACAGAGCCATCTCCGTGACCTTTCAATTCAAGAGCATTTGCGAAATACTACTCAGTGGCTTGTTTTGAAATACTTGGTATATTCTTAGACTGGATGTGTGACAAAAGTAATTTTGATGCTGTCTAGGGCTTAGTCTGCAGCAACATCTTTAAACAGGTTTTATTGACACAAGTTATTTATTGACTGCTTGAAAGAGTACTTAAACTCTGTGCCTAAGAGTAATGTGATGAAAATCCAGTAGAAACTATGGCACCAAAATACAGATTTGCCTCCTTCATGGGGTTTCACAGGTATCTGCAGGGTGGAAGGAGCCTGTTTGGTTCTTACTGCTGCCGTCTGATCCCAATCCTTGTGGTGGAAATTGTCATTTTGGTGTCAGGAGAGCTGAGAGCCACTTGCTGGCTAGAAGTCTGTGTGACGTTTTGTTGAGCCAGGCTGGAGTATGACAGGTGACTTCTGCAGGACACAGTGCTGTTCATTCTCACAGTGGGCTGCCCCTGCAATCTGTGTTCCAGAATGGATGAGAACTACATCCTCCTGCCACATGGAGTCAACTTCCAGGAGGCGATTTTCCCTGACACCCAGGAGAACAGAAGAATGTTTGCCAGCCTTTTCCAGTTTTCAAACTGCTCACAGGCACAGCACATGCTGAGCTTCTCCAGTGACTGGGAGATCCAAGAGGACAACCGGGTAAGGGGTTCTTTTTCTTTCCAGTGCTTGTTTTCAAAGTGGCCACAGGCATTCTCATGTCCTTTGTAAGCATATGTATATTAACACAGAGCAGCAAGTCCCTGATTTTCCTGTTCCTTGGCTAGTATCACTAGCAAAGTAGCACACTGGTGAGGAAATATTAAACTGTTTTCAAAGATGACCTCTCTGTTAAGCTCTTCAGCTTCCCATGGACCTGAACAAAGCTTTGTATCAACTTGTTCATGAGAAATAGGTTAAAAATAGTATTACTTGTGATCTTGTCCTCCCCCACCTAGATAATTTCTGAGTTTGCTATCTCTAGACCTCTTTTTAAAATTTCAGCTGAAATGCTCAGGAGCAGGTATTTGCTTTTGAACTTCCGTGTTCATCTCATGAAGTGAGAGCAGTTCCTGGACCATGACAGACTGTGAGGGATTATTCTTGCCTGACTCCACATAACAGCATAAACATCTACAGAAATAATTGCCCTGATCTGCCTTTGTGGCAACTGGGGGAAAAAAGACTCTTAAGGGTACATTTCATGTGCGTGATGAGGCCAGGGCTCCTCTAAGTGATGCCAGCACTTCTGAATTAGAGAGATGAAATCTCTCTTTCTCCATTCAAGGAAGGCCACAGAAAGCAGTTCACCCTCTAGGCGATCCTCCCTTAAGAACACCCAAAGATGCCACTGTTGGTGGCTTCTGAGCCCCTTTATGGGATCGTAGTGTGTGTAATAAATGCAGGATTTTAACAAATGCTTATTTGGCAGAGAGGAGCAACATGTTGTTATGTGTGTGCATGTTCTGGATGTGCATATACTTTTGAAAAAGTGGAACTTGGAGAGCTGGTTTAGTGCCAAACCCTGTTCTGTGAGGCTGGTGGTTTCACTTGGTAGCTGAGAACATTTTAAGCACCCCTCTAGGTCAGGATGGACAGGACAGGTGTCATTGCTTGTGTCTTTTGTGGATTTACCCAAGGCATGATGTTTATGTATGACAGCAGATGTGTGAGTGCTTGCTTGGGAGATGGATGCAGGGAATTCAGTAGCTGGCTGAGCCTTTTCCTTTCACCACCTGGCCAAATGCCAGCACACAAAGTTTGAGCTGCTGTGTGGCCATCTGGCCAGTGACACAGCTCCTCTCCTTGGGATGCCCCATGAGCAAGAGTTTTCTTGCTGCTGATATTTTGGGGAGGGAGTGTGGAATGGTGCTGTTCAAATGTGTGGGGACAGCAGCAGAAATTGATATTTAAGAGGAAATTAATTATCCTACAATTAAATTGCAGAGCTGTAACCCTGTCGGGGCAAGAAGGAGGAGGTGGAGAGCCTTGGTCCAAGCCCTGCCTCCTCCCTCCACTCCCCTGCTTGCTCCTCAGTGCCACAAGCAACATACTTGGCAAGTAAAGGTGCTGCGGCTGCCAAATCCACAGATTTTTGTCCAGGGCATCAAAGTGGCATTGGTAGGCCACCAGATCCAACTGCCAGTGTCTGCTTGTGATGCCTCTGCACTGTTCATGTCGTCATGCTGAGCTAAATGTAGGGGATCTTGATGGGCTGGTGCTCATTTATGCCAGCAGTGAATCTCACCAGTCAGCCTTAATGGAAATCACCAGGCAGAAACCCCCAGGGTGAGTTGGGGCAACCCTCAGCAAAGTATCAAAAGTGCATTTCAGCTGTTGCACTCTTTGACCCATGCAGCTGTGAGCAGACTGGGGGGGATTCGAGCTGCTGGTCCCACAGACAGGGGCCAGGGGCTTTACACCCTTCAACCCCCACCCATCCAGTGAACAAATTCAGCACAACTGATGGACACTTTGTCTCGCCTTCATAATGAAAAGTAAAAGCTTCCTCTGCACCAGTTAAAAATAGATGGGGCTGACTGTGCTCTCATTCAGCTCCTACATCTGTGTTTGCCCAGCCGAGCGCCGGCTCCCGGCGCCTGCGTGCCCCAGCCTGGGAAAGGGGTGACATTTCTGGTGGCTGCGATATTAGGGGTTTGTTCCTCAGCTCTTCCCAGGTACAAGTCTCTTTATGTTTCCTTCCTCTCTCTGTCTTTTTACATATAGTGGTGGTTTTCCCAATTTTCACTGTGTCTTCTCACATCCTGTCACATTTCTGTTTCCAAATTTGCTCAGCCAAGCTGGCCCATGGTGGCTCCTGAGCTGAAATCTGTGGTGTGTGCCAGCTTCATGGCACAGACAGTGAACATAACTCAGAGCATTATTCCTGAGTTTTTGAGAAAGAACCTCTTTGGGAGCCTGAGTACATCCAAAGATGGTTTCTGTGATGATGTCAAGTTTGGAAGAGCTTGGACAGAGAGAGAAGGATGAGGCTCATACTGTAGTGAGGAGTCAGGGGTCTCACTAGCTGCTGTGTACTGACATAAATAGTTACTTAAAATACATCATGGATGTTTTGTGCAGTCAGAGAGGAGAGGTGGAAATGTTGAGGCATTCTGAGCAGAAGGCAGCTGGGATGAAAGTTTCATCCCAGGAGTTCATAAGTAAGGTCCTACCTCCAGGTGTTGGAACAGCTGCTTGCAGGGACATGAAAAGCAGCAGAGGAGGTTTGGAATAAAGGAGTGATGACATTTTCTGTTTACAGATAAATCCCATACTCTGAAAATCTTTTGGAATCCCGGTCTTGATATATTTCTGGGGTGGACACTTTAAGAGAGATTTTGGTGCTAGAAGCACGTGCAGTTGCAATGGATAATTCGGGTTTTCAGCTCTGGGATGCTCAGCCAGAATGTGAGAAAATCCTATGATGGATGAGTGTCTTTGCCTCATGCAATACTACTCCAAGGAAGAGGTCCCTTCTGCAGGGTGTGCTTGAGCTGGCCATGGAGCAGGTGACCCAAAAGTGACCTGTTGTCCTCCTGCTTGGCCTCCTCTGTCTGCAGTGCTCCTTGCATGCAGGCAGCCTTGTCTGGGCTGCCTGAGGGGTGAAACTAGGAAAGCACTGACAGCTCCTTCTCCTCCTTCCAGCAAATGTGTCTGATAAGGCAAAAGAGAGCAAATAGATGTCCAGGAATTTTTTGATGCACTGGGATGTGCCACCTGGCTTTTCCATCATGGTAAAATGCTTTAATTTAATTTTCAGAAAGGCCCATGGTGTGTGATGAAAAGAGGTCAGACCCAAGGCACATTTCATTGAATATAATACTTTCCTCATCCTGGGCCTGCTGCTTTTGCTGAAAGCTAATTCCAGCTGCATTTTTAAGCCCCTTTAGTCTGGGCTAAGAGCCAAATACTGCTTTCCATAGTTTTCCAATAACCCTACAATCTCATAAATTTACTGTTCTGGCCATTTCAGAGTGCAATGATAGCTCGTGCCATTGTTTCTTTAGACACTTGCATTTTGGCCTCCACATTTGCAGAGGAAAATACTAATGTGGCTTCATCTTGACTTTTTGTCTCAGACCTTTGGTGATGTTGCAGACCTCTTGCTTTACTCCAGCTCGTTGTTGCAGTGGTTTCCACAAGGTTGTTTCTAAAACCAAGGGATGATGCAGTACATTGGGATTGAAATCTAGCCCCCCTGCAGAGTTTCACCACTTTAGTGCAAATCTACGAGCTGTAATTTCTTCCTTCTGGCCTTCTGCAGGGTTGTGTGATCTCATAAAGTGGACCTTGTTGCTTTGTCTGCACACAAGGGATTACAGGAGAAGTGACTTGAGGTCTGGTGTCAATAATGACAGTAGAAATCTATAGAAGCACTTGTAATTGTTGTTCAGAGGGGCTTGAACTGGTTTTGTCAACAGGTTGGTAAGGAAAACTGTTCTTTTGGCCTCCCTCTTATGTGTGCAGGAGAGCTGCAAAATGACCCCACGTGCATCACAACAAGGGGCTGATGTCAAGGTGTCAGCCCAATTGTGAGCAACAGTGGGAGCACTGAGATAAAGTCCATGGAAATTAAGGAGTCCAATAACTTCAATTAAGCTCAGAGATTGCAGGAGGAGACTATACCTTTTATTAAGTCTCTCTCCCTGCACTGACTCAAGCAGCAGAGCCACAACCACAATGACACTTCAATTGATTTAGATGAATGGACTTGCCTTCTGAGAGACCTCCACAGCTTTATCTGGAGGTATTATCTCTAGTAATAAAGCTTTTATAGGAGTAGTCAGTGTCCCAAATAAAAAGCAAGGTGATTAGTGGGTTAGCCTGGCAGTCTACAAATATCTGTTTATCATCTTTGGGTTTGGATCTTCTTGTCTGGAGGCTGTAACAGACTAATGACCTGACTGGGACACCTGGAAGACTTTGGAGCAGCTGAAAAGGAAACTAGATAAGAAAAGCAATGTAATTGCATAAATGGCCTTGCCATTACTGTGCAAAGCAAAAATCAAATTAAATTACATTCTTCCTCTATGGAAGTAGAGGAAATAGCTTCAGAAATATTTGTATTTTAGCAATTGCTCTGTGCATAGACTGGGAGTCACTGGGTTGGGTGAATCCCTGAGCCCATCTGTGGGCAGCAGCACATCTGCTGGTCCCAGCCTGGCTCTTCCCTGCTGCTCTCAACCAGGTGAATGGTAAAGGGTCTCAATCAGTGACACTTCACAGTACCACGAGGGCACAAGCCACAGAGAAGTATCCACTTGTACTAGAGCTCCTTGCCTACCAGAGAAGGGCTTGTTCACGTGATGTTTGCTATGAGGACTTGTTTTGATCCATCTCCCAGGCAACATGCCCCCAGAGAGGAGGAAAAAAGAAGGAAAAGTTGGGGAAGTCCCTGTAATTTTTCAGACTACCCTGATTTTGGAAGTGATTAAACAGTATCCTGTCCAGAGAGAGCCTTGGATGCATGTTCCAGAGGTCTTCCTGCGGTGGCTGAGAAGGACATTGCTGATGCCAAAAGTGACTCTGCTCTGTGAGTCTTGCAAATCCTGGCCACTAGGAAAAATAAGCTGATAACTGTGTTATCCATGTTATTCATGAAATTAAAATGAAAAATTAATTTTTTTTCTCTTATTAAAGTTAAAATCTCCTGCTCTTGC